TCAAACCATCCTGTCTGGGAATGTGAAAAAACTGCATGTGGCCTAATGGGAAATATCTCTAACAGAACCAAAGCAGGCAATCAGGCTAGCCCCTGGCATGGCCAGACATTCAGCAACTAGAATAAGGGTGGGACCAAAACAAGTTTTCTACAGTGGCTACTGCACCTGGACTGAATCAGTCCTACAGCTTTACCTAACATACACAATAGCAGCAGGTTGGTCTTCCCTTTGAAACAGATGGAGCATGTGGTATTCCTGCCCCCATATCCCTGATCTTACACCCCTAAGCAGAAACTGGCAGTGGTGAGTGGCACAAGAGATTAAACAAGCAGCTGATGACAGAGGAGGAGGAAGGAAAGGAAAACAAGTGTGAGGAAAACTGCTTCAGTTGTGTCTGGTTGCACAATAGCAGCAGGTTGGTCTTCCCTTTGAAACAGATGGAGCATGTGGTATTCCTGCCCCCATATCCCTGATCTTACACCCCTAAGCAGAAACTGGCAGTGGTGAGTGGCACAAGAGATTAAACAAGCAGCTGATGACAGAGGAGGAGGAAGGAAAGGAAAACAAGTGTGAGGAAAACTGCTTCAGTTGTGTCTGGTTGAGATCTCCCTTTCCCGGACACAAAAAAAATGTTTCTATTGCTTCTAGCACCATCAAAGCCCTCACAAGTGAAATGAGCATTTTCAAAGCTGAAATGTTCAAAACTAAGGTGTGGTATGAACAGAAAGTAGCAATTAAGCCCTTCATAGTGATCCTTTGTCGAGCTAGTAGGGATATGCAATAACCATTATGACACCTTCACAATCTCTGCTAATTGTCACTGGGCTGATCAATGAATGTTGGATCATGGCCTTGGTCTTTAACTGTTGCAGTCTGATTGTGAGGAACTGGGTGGACTTGACATATGTGTGCATTGAAGGCACATTGCATTCAGAAAGGAGACATGCAGATTTGGTCCCATACAGATTCTAAAAGCACAGCTGTAGCTTATTTTTACAGCCTTTTCTCCTCTCAAAATTCATAAACTAATATGAAAAAATCCATCCAATGAACAATTAAAATATATCATGCATTGTTTTATAGTAATCTGATTTACATACCAGTCTGCACTGAAGATTCTGCCTTCCCTACAGTCGTGTATTTTTATAGAGAATTGAGAGATATTTAATAGATTTTACCCCACACGGTATGAAATCCCCTAGGGTATGTCTACACTAGCCCCCTAGTTCAAACTAGGGAGGCTAATGTAGGCATTCAAAGTTGCAAATGAAGCCCAGGATTTAAATATCCCGGGTTTTATTTGCATCTTCCCGTCCGGGCGCCATTTTTAAATCCCCTTAGTCCGAACTAACTGCCTGCGGCTACACACGGCAGTCAAATGTTAACTCGAACTAAGTCCTTAGTTACACCTCGTTTGAATGCCGTGTGTAGCCGCGGACAGTTAGTTCGGACTAAGGGGATTTAAAAATGGTGCCCGGACGGGAAGATGCAAATAAAACCCGGGATATTTAAATCCTGGGCTTCATTTGCAACTATGAATGCCTACATTAGCCTACCTAGTTCAAACTAGGGGGCTAGTGTGGACATACCCCTATAGAACAAATGGCATTTTCTGGCTTCATGCTTTATGTTAAATTAAGTGTCAAGATGGCTTAAGGTACTTATTAGGAGATCCTATTTTTCCATTGTAAAGAACCCAAAGGCTTTGAAAATGTAAATAAACGTTGTTTTCTTGATTTGCAAGCTCTCCAGGACAGCGACTCTGTCTTCCAATATCTTTGTACTGTATTTACCATTGTCTGAATATAGATAATGAATAAAATAATACCATATAAGGTAGGTGCATAAGGTAGGTGGATAACCATTATCAGAGAGTAGTTATTAATGGTTCACAATCATGCTGGAAGGGCATAACAAGTAGGGTTCCTCAGGAGTCTGTTTTGGGACCAGTTATGTTCAATACAGCCTCTCTCCGACTTACGAACCGGTTACAGACCAAGCAATTGGTCATAACTTGGTTTGTTCGTAAGTTGGACCCCATAGAGTTACACGTGACCGCGCTGTTCGTAAGTGCGGATTGCATTTGTAACTCAGGGTCTGCCATTTGTGACAGCTTCGGTCGTAACTGCGAACGGTCATAAGTCGACCGTTCGCAATTCTGAACATGAGAACATGTAAATTGCCTTTTTATTATGTGCTAATGAAAATCTAATAGTTTGCACTTACGGTACATGCTAATGAAAATCTAATAGTTTGCACTTACGGTACATACCTTTCTGCCTACAGTCCATTACAAAAACAACCAGTAGCACCCTTCTGGCATGGATAAGCATATAATAGGATCATTGTTTCTCAATCTGGAAATTAATTGTAAATATTAGGTGATTTGCCTGAGGCCACACAAATCAGGCAAAGTGAAGCTGGAATTAGAACTGCTTCATAAAAGTCCATTAATGTATACTGGCTGCCTTTCAGCTACTCCTTTTCCTCTCCTCTACTTCCCTGTACCTCCTCCCCAAAAACATCCTTTTGTGCTAGGAGTGTCTCTGGAATTGTACAAAGTAGATGTCAGAGCAGAGCATCACTGTATTCATTAATATTTTTGTGATCACAGGTGAGGTGACAGAGTTTTACTTGGGTCTTTGCTATTCATTCTTCATGCTTGCCATCCAAAATGTTTGAGTACAATCCTGCTCTTTTGCACAACTGCATAATACAGCATTAGTATGCAGTGGAGACTTCATACATATTCCTGCAAATTATGTAAAGGCGTTAAGCATGAATCTTCACAATGCCCAAGTGCATATTACAACAGCTCTGGTGACACTGTGAGCTATATTACATTTTTGTTCTGAAGTGGTGTTCCTCTGAGAGGAGGAAGAAAGTTATGTGCTGTCAAAGAGTCTTGATGTGTTTCTAGCAATATAAGTTTCGTAACTTGAAAAAAAATGAATGAGGCCTTTGGAGGGAATGCCCTAACCTTGGACTAGAATAAAGATGTGCATGCATACAATAATGGTTATCATGGTAGTTGGACCTCTGGTTTGGCAACATAGCTGCTATGGAAAGAAGAACAAACTATTTCTAGAGAGAGAGATTATACAATTATATGTTGTACTGTATCAAGAGCTGAGAATTTTTACTCATGCTGAGCACAGCTCACTGAAAACTCCCTATTTGCTGCTTATTTTTTTCTCTCATTTTATATAGTAAATAGTTACTCTTTCAATAAAGATGCACAATCAGTAAACCTTGTCATGGCTGTAAGTCAGATGTGTGGCTAATATGTAAGCAATCAACTACCATCTACTAAGTAGAATCAGAATTGTTCAACTTCTTGTCATAGTCTCTAAACTCTTAAAAACGAAGACTCTCCTTTAGCTTGGGTGCTAGACATCCTTGATCTCAGGCTGCTCCTCAACAATACATTCTCTTATAGATGAAAGTTAACATCTTGAGTAGCTCTGAGAAGCAGATGCAATGTGCAATTCATTTGTCATAAGTGTAATATGTGACATAGTTTAAAACATGTGTCTAAATATCATACACATATTCCTAATAATGGAAAAATATATTAAGCTCTAAAACTTTGGATAAAAAAACTGATTTTCATGATCCAATTCTGTAACTTTTGGGACCTCCAAATAAATCTTATGTGCCATTTTTTTCTGGGCATAGATCATAATAATTGAATGTGCCACAAAACCTTGCATCACATTAGAAGTAACTGTTGTTCACATGGGAATAAAAATAAAAGCTGAATGTGTGCTTTCATAGATTGCCCAGTTCAAGGTCTACAGAAACACTTCAGAAGCACAGAATAGCAGCTAACCATATTACTTACCTTGCTAAGTCTAGAAAAAAGCCTATGCAGACTTATGAACTTGGTTACTTCCTGTTGGATATGAACCAAACACACTCATCTGATATAAAATGATCCACTTAGAAGCCTTAGCACTAATGTCCATTCATCACAAGGCTCAGTCTGACCTCCCTTGTTGACCAGCTGAGTTTTCCCAGTAAATTCAGTAGGACTATTTGCATGAGTGAAAGTTCTAAGACAAAGCCCCTGTCTCTGAAGGTGAGTCACAGCACCAAATTCATCCTTGGAATAGCTCCATTCAGTTTATTTAAACCAAAGATACATTTGACCCAGGAGTGTCCCTTTAATTTGCTGCTATCTCTCACTAGTCAACAGGACTGGAGAAGATAAGCTTGATGTGTAACAGCAAATAGATAACCTACAGGCAACATGGAAAGTACAGATAATTATTCCTATGATAATTATTCCTAAGATTCTCCCCTTGCATCTAATTATGGGAGTGTTTATGCTTCTCTTTCCTTCTTGGCTCACCTTCTAAAATCTCTGAAAGTTCAAATGTGTGTTTGTGCATTGACTAATGGGTAAATGCATTCCCAGACGTGATATACTGTGTTCTCGTCAATGCCTGTCACTGTTCTATTTGACTTTACTGACTTTACCAGTGTTCTCAGGTGCTATGCCCATGATTAATGAGGGATTTGTTCACAACAAAGAAGGCAGTTAGGAAGCACATTTTCTCTTAATGATATGCATAAATGAATTAACTAATGTCAATCTAGTTTATCTCATGATGGGCTTGGAGTCTTATTGCTGCTGTTTTATTGGCATGTTTCTTTCTTATTCATGGTCCAATTTGCCCATATCTTACTAAGGAGAATCAAGGTCTGGTCAGTAGTTGAATATGCAGTCTTCAAGGTATGCCCTCTGGTGCTTCAGGCATAGCATTAATGATTCTGCAGGCAATGTTTTTTCCTCTGAGTCAGTTACAGAACAGATGCCATGGGAATGAGGGAAGAGGTTTAGGATGCTATCCATTGAACAAGGTACAAAGCTTAGGTCCTGGCCCCCGGCACTTCTTACAAGTGTAAATGTATGATCCTGGAAATACTGTACTGGCTATGTTCCAAACTGTGTAATTAATTGCCTCCTGCTTTCTTTACAGAAATC